TCTTGTCAGTTTAGTTGGTTACATTTGATACGTAAACAAAGTAACACCCTCATGTGATGCTCTTTGACAGGATATCAGGGGAAATTAAGTCAGCAGTTGGAAGCAGATCAGTTGCAGCTCAGCCAGCAGGTAAGTGTCACTGACTGAAGTCTTTCAATGGACAGCGTCTGTGCTTTAATATACAGCTATTATTATTTTTATAAAATAATTGTATTATTACAATTACAACATTAAAAATGTTTTACTGAATGTTGTTCAGTTTAAGATTAAGTGCAAATTTCTTTTGTGTAAGAAAACATTCATGAGATCAGGTTGTTGTTATTTATGTATCAGTTTTATTTGATTTGACATGGTGGAGCAGATCAAACCAAGTGAACACAAACCGAGCAGCCAACAGTTTGTGAGGCTGTGGTAGAGATGCATGTCTGAAAGAAAAGACCACAAACATTAATTTTTGAAGCGCTTCATGTAAATTATGATTTCAATTCAATTTCATTTTATGTAGATGTCTCCAAACCACAATAACAGTTGCTGAACAGCACTTTGTATTATATAGTAAAGTGATTTGTCCAGGGTGCACCTTACCCCTCGACCCGTGCAAGCTGAGATAGACTCTAGCTTTCATCGCTGCGATGCTAGATCGGATAAGTAGGAGAAAATGGATGAAAGTAAATTAAAACACAGTAAGTTTAAGTGCTCCTTAGTATACACAGTAGGAGTCTGGATTATGAAGCGCCTTGAGGCGACATTTGTTGTGATTTGGCGCTACATAAATAAAATTGAATTGAATTGAATTGAATTGAATTGAATTGATTACATCATCACTGCTTTTAGTTTTACAAACTGAGGCAGGATCTGAAACACTTGTACTTCTGTTGTTCCGTCCTCTGTTTATTCTGTGTTTATTTGTAGCCAACTGTTTTTCTTCTATGTGGGTTGATGTCTGACTGTTTGGAGAAATAAAACTGTGTCGTCTCTAATCATGATGCTAACATGGTAACATTTTATTTTATGTGAAGAATCAGAAAGCAGTCAGTCAATACCTAAACCAACTACAGTCCTTCAAGTCGTCCAGTCACAGTCACGAGTCACCATCCCAGCAGCCTCTAAGAAAGAAAACTGTCGACTTAATGGAGAGAAATAAGAAAAGCCTTTCCCTGTTTAT